AGGGGGCCATACATGACATTGTCCACTGATGTCGGGGGCCATACATGACATTGTCCACTGATGTCGGGGGCCATACATGATACTGTCCACTGATGTCAGGGGCCATACATGACATTGTCCACTGATGTCGGGGGCAATACATGACATTGTCCACTGATGTTGGGGGCCATACATGACATTGTCCACTGATGTCGGGGCCATACATGACATTGTCCACTGATGTTGGGGGCCATACATGACATTGTCCACTGATGTAGGGGGGCCATACATGACATTGTCCACTGATGTCGGGGGCCATACATGACATTGTCCACTGATGTCGGGGGGCCATACATGACATTGTCCACTGATGGTGGGGGCCATACATGACATTGTCCACTGATGGTGGGGGGAGATACATTGTCCATTATACTGACAATGGGAACGAGTGTCATGGGAGGGAAACAGTTAACACTGATCATGACATGTCCATCACTTTATACTGACAATGGGGACGAGTGTCATGGGAGGGAAACAGTTAACGCTGATCATGACATGTCCATCACTTTATACTGACAATGGGGACGAGTGGCATGGGAGGGAAACAGTGAACACTGACATGACCCATCAGATTATACTGACAATTTGGACGAGGGTCATGGGATGGAAACAGTGAGCACTGACATGACCCATTACATTATACTGACAATTGGGACGACCCATCACATTATACTGACAATGGGGACGAGTGGCATGGGAGGGAAACAGTGAACACTGACATGCCCCATCACATTATACTGACAATTTGGACGAGGGTCATGGGATGGAAACAGTGAGCACTGACATGACCCATTACATTATACTGACAATTGGAACGACCCATCACATTATACTGACAATGGAGATGAGTGTCATAGGAGGGAAACAGTGAGCACTGACATGACCCATTACATTATACTGACAATGGAGATGAGTGTCATAGGAGGGAAACAGTTAACACTAACATTTCCAATCACATTATACTGACAATGGGGACGAGTTTCATGGGAGGGAAACAGTGAACACTGAAATGGCCCATCACATTATACTGCCAATGGAGACGAGTGTCATGGGAGGGAAACGGTGAACACTGACATGACCCATCAGATTATACTGACAATTTGGACGAGGGTCATGGGATGGAAACAGTGAGCACTGACATGACCCATTACATTATACTGACAATTGGGACGACCCATCACATTATACTGACACTTGGGACGAGTGTCATGGGAGGGAAACGGTGAACACTGACATGACCCATCAGATTATACTGACAATTTGGACGAGTGTCATGGGATGGAAACAGTGAACACTGACATGACCCATCACGTTATACTGACAATGGAGAGGAGTGTCAGGGAAAAGTTAACACTGATATGATCATACAATGTTATACTGACAATAAGGACAGGTGTCACGGGAAAAAGCAGATTATAAAGAAACTATGGGGGTCCCAGGTGTTGCAATATGAATCGGGTGCAGCAGATCACTTTGGCCTCTTTGGTATTCCCAATAAGATGTCATATAGTAATAAAAGAATGGATCTCCAGGGGTCAAATTTAGTTATCACATTTAGTACTTTTATTATCATTGTTTCTGCTTTTACAATTAATATTTCTTTATTAACTATCTAATTCCAAGAATGTTACTCCAGGGCAAGAGATGACACAAATGGAAATTTGCAACACACACAGAAGATTGTGAGAAAAGCGTAATTCAATGCTTCTTACCATGTGATTCCCTTTATTACATCAATAGATATGAGAGTGTGAGTGTGTTTATCGATGTGTGCTAGAGTTTGTATAGGTGTTCTCCTTGTTATGGGTCAGTATTTTTGTGTTCTAGAGTTTGTATAGGTGTTCTCCTTGTTATGGGTCGATATTTCAATTTGTGCTAGAGTTTGTATAGGTGTTCTGCTTGTTTTGGGTCTGTATTTAAAATGGGTTTGTTAGTGTCACCCCATCTTTGATAACTATAGCACAGAACATTCAAAACCCAACGCAGACAATATTATGCATCGTACTCCACCCAATGCAGGCAAGGTTGAGTACCAAGGGCAAAGTATCTTGCTGAAGAAGGCAGAACCACATGATGTCACCAGTGGGAATCATACCTTTGAACACTCTAGCACAGAAACATGCAATATGCTATCAAGATCATATAACACCATATGCAAGCATAGCTTAGCAACGAAGGTTAATATCCTGCAATATCCTACCCGGGGCCAAATTATTCTACATCCTATATGCAGACAGACATGAACAACAAGGGTCAAATGTCTTGCTACAGAGGGGTGAACCACATGATGTCACCTGTGGGTATAACACCTTTGAACACTACAGCACAGAAACTGCAATATCCTACCCAGACCCTATTCCATCCTATGCAGGCGGAATGAACAACAAGGCTACGATATATCCTTCTATAGGTGGTAATCAAACCTGCAACCTTGCAGTCAATGGGATAACGCACTACCAACTGTGATGTGTGCCCCCCTCCCCCTCTAATTAAATATATGTAATGTACCGAGATAAATCCAGCCATTCTTCGAAATATCCTCAAAGCTGCATGGCTATCAATCACTTAATGCATATTCTTGTAATTTTTTATATAATATTACTGACATTTATTTATTAAACATCAAACATGAACATTTTTTTAAACTATTTGAGAATGTCAAAACAGTATTAACAATTACTTATTATCTATATCTAAGAAACACATGAAACACATTTAAATGAAGCTGATCCTAGATTTCAATCCATATGATCAAGAATTGAAAGGATACTAAAAATGTTACATAAGCTAACTGTTTGAAGACTTAATACCCTTAGTTACATGTATGTAAATAACTATACATATGTATGAGTTATTTGATCCTGCAAGTTATCCTTCATTACACGTGTTAAAATGAATAAATTAGGTCAATGTATTCTGTTTACTAATTTGAAAACTGCTACAAATTCTTAATTCAAAAAATAATGATTTACATATAATTTTTAATTTTCCTGTATGAACCTGAATATTTCAAAATCATATCCAATCCTGATACATGTATCTGACTGATATTATTTCGCTTCTGAATTTATTTTAACAAAGTAAGAAAAATGCTCCCTTTGTGTATTGGGAAAGGCTATATAACATAGATACAATCTTAATTAGGGACCCTGGCTGTTGGTCAAATTTAACATACCTTACAAAGGAAGGATTTTCAATATTCTTTTGTTTGTTCGTATCGGTAAACAAATTTCGGAAAGCCTTTCAAGGCCACAAGTACATGTTATTATTTCAGGATCATTGTTAGAAAAATTCGCGTTTCAGATATAAATATATTGTTTGGAACAAGTTCATGTATTGACCGACACATGAGCACTGTGAAATGGGTAAAAAATAAACCCTTAAAAAAAGTATGATAAGAGAAAATAAGGCAACAGACGAGGTTCACAAAACAAGACACAAATGTTTCGTCATACACGTAACAGCACTTCAAATTGCTTACTTATATTCGAGACATTCCTATTGACATCATCATATAAGCATTATTCTCATCAATGAATTCACTTCAGACACCAATAAAAGGCAATACATGCATCAGCTTATTTTTTGTGTGTTAGAGGATATACTCCTTTAAAAAAAGATGCAGTGTAAAATAATCTGTCTTTCGGGGCGTTTTTCAAGGATTATCCCTCCCACCATAAACGTTGAAGTCTAGACATTGATTTTAGCCTAAATAAACCAATTCAAGATGCCTCGAAGTCTGGTCGACTACAGACAGGTAAATAATAAAACCCCGATTGATTGGCTACATGGTCCAAGGCACCATGTCATTAATCACATTGTCTGCCCGAATTTCACATTTTAGCGAAACATATGGATTTTCATAATTTCGTCTTTTATCCAAGACATGGATTCATGATCTCCAGGATTTTGTTGTTTACAAACATCTTATCAAAATAAAGTTTTAGATAACTTGTGAAACTTTTTTTAACAAGATTTATAATTGCTCTGAATTATTATGACATTTTTGTATTTAAATATCTGACATAAAAAAATCTTAAAACACAAGAATATTTCTCCAGTACAATGTCATTTGACATTTTGAAAATTTTAATTAAATTTTTAATTCATAATATACTCTTTCCCTTTACCACCTCTTCAAATTCCATGCAGAACGGTAATGTTCCACACTTTTTGCGGTAATGTACTAAAAATAATAATTCAAGTCAGATATATTTATAACATGACCAAATATCTAATACATCATAAGATATACTTACGTATGTACATTGTGCACACAGGTGTTTTTTTGCAAATCTTTAGTTAAACATACAGTTTCTAAACTCCTATCAACTATGCACAATTTTTTTTATGATGAAATATTAAGCAGTTTCACACACGTCGATGAAGGTCACTGATAAATGAATGTAACATTCAACATTCCGGAAGTAACAGGCTGGATTTCCAATTACAAAATAGTCTCATCATTCATGCGATAAAGTACAATCTGCTTATAGATCCTTATAGGGCTTGTGTAGCTATATATATACATAATGCAAGTCTATGACCTGAGAACTGGTCGCAATGTGTTACTGAAGTGTTCAAATTTTGAAGTGTTCATTCATGTTAAATAGTATTTTACATTTAGTGAGAAATAAGACAAATATTTCCAAGCATTTTATAAGAGTTAATTAACAACTTCATACATTTTATTGAGAGAGAAAAATACAAGTTTATGAGAAATGATCAACAGGTTTTTTTTAAATTTTATGAGAAATCATTAAAACTAAAAAATGTCTACTTTTTATGAAAGGTTGCTAAACCTTGCAGGAATTCAAAATTTATGTTTGACAAATAACTGATATTTTACTATTTCAGAACCACAATTAACAGCTGATAGTATGAAATAAGATACTAAAGTGACCACAACTTCCTTACGTATTACAAAGCAGGTAGGTATTTTGTGTTAGCAGATTTATATGCATAGCTTTTTTATATTTAGACGCCAATCGGTCTGAATCTGGTTTTACCGGTTTCCAGGTTATTTTGGATTTATACCGAACACCATACATCCCATGAATGTTGACACCTCTTCGAAATGTGTCCTTTGATTTACGCAAAAATAAATTTATGTATTATACATTAGAGGAAAAATGACAATGTAGGTTACCTAGATGCTTTGTTAAACTTTTACGTTGCCACATAGCAGTCTCTTTTTTAATTTAAATATTCTATGTCAACAAATTATTTCTGAAAACACAGCAATAAAATTTATGCAAAAATATTTATATGTTGTTTGTCGAAGTAACCCTTTGAAGTTTATTTATAACTAATTTCATAGCAATGTTTATTATTTTAAGTTACTATCAAAAGTTAACTAAAAATGAACAACATACTGTTTGTGGGTTTATTTTCTGTACAGTGCAAAGTTAAGATCTTGTTAGTGACACACATGTCATGAACCAGCTTTTTAAAAATTTCCTTTTCACGCTTCTCACTGCATACATGTTTTAATTTATACTGTGCGAGATCCTGTTTACAAAAGTTTCCTAATGATCACCCTTCCACTGATGTAGCAGTAGTTTTCATTTTCCTTGTTACAAAACCCTTTCACTGTCGATTAATATTACAGAAATCTGCATCGTTACGAAATGAATATATAAATGGTGTTTATTTGGACTGCATTAAGGTCATTACTGTAATTAGTGTTTTATTCATACTAGATGAATTACCTTTATCTGACATTTTGAATATATACAGATATATATATTAATACATGATACCAGTCTGTGTATGTGTAGCTGAGTCTCTACAACTACAAAATAACATGTATCGCATACTGAGCGATTAATTCCAATCAACTTTGTAAGTAAGACATAAAAACATACACTACAATATTCAAAAACATGTGACGATTATGTAAAATAAAAATAAAAATAACTTCTAATGAAACAAGTCTTAAATAATCACTTTTAACTACCCCAATTAACGGCTTGAAATTTTAAAACAGAAAATGAAATATTTGTACAGAAATAGAAGAAAATATGTTATGAACTTTTATTTTAAAAATTCCAGCACCCTAGCGTTCTTGTCCCGTTAATCCTAACATCAGACATGCAGTCAATGTCATCAATACATGTTAAGCCTTTGCAGTTTAGTCATTAATATTCAGCAATAAATGTAGGTCTTCCAAATGCCTACTTTATGGAAATTAACAGACTGTATTATTTATAAGAGAGATAATCAGACCATACATAAAAACATGATCTTTCCAATAGAATCAGTAGGCAACGCATTGTCACACTTTCCCAACGACCTACGAATACGTACACTAACCAGAAAATGCTGGTATTTGTCCGATATATTAAATTCTAAGAAATGATAAAACCCGAAAACGGGCAGAAACAGCAACCAAATTAAAATTGATCCATATCCACATGTACATCAAGAAAAATTACCCGCACTCATTTCCCTATAAACATAGAGACTGCAGTAGCGATTACAGTTACAAGATCTCTTACAATGTTGGAAGTATGTACAAACTGTATCAGCGTCAGATCTTGGGTATTCTGCAGTCTTACCACTTTCTTTTCAATATATTCTTGATTTTGTTTCCACATCTCTTGATAGGCCACGTTGAATGATAACGAATGTGATGTGCCAAACTTGAGAAGAAACCTTCGACAAATCAATATTGTTTCTCTTTCTGTTCACAACACAGTACAAGTCAAGTACACTAGTTACATTTGAAATTTGTAACTTGAATTTTTTTTCCCCCCAATCTATATTCTCTTGTGTTTTCAATTTGATTTCATACATTCTGGTTTGATTATTTTCAAGCCAAGAGGCATTAGAAAATTCTGAAGAGTAATATAAAGCCAAATCAACAAACACGAAAGTTATTACATCAATTCAATATTCAACAATATTAAATTACACTGTATCCCTCTTTTGGAAAATTTTAATAAAAGTAAATTATGGTGTATACTACACAACCATATACCTAAAATTTTATATATACTGCCATGCATGTGTGAATGCTTTATATATTTATTTTTATGTCTCTGTTCTATTCTATAAATAACTTGTAATATGTTTGCATAAAATTAACGATGACAATTCACATATATTTACCGTGTAAGTTCAACCCACTTGGGGATTGCAGTCAGATGCAATTTATATAATTATGATTAAAAGGACATAATTTTCACAAGAAGTTAACATTTGATTTACTCCTTTTTTACTGTTCATATCAATATTAACCAATAATGATGATTCACTGTAAATGATTAATAAAAATTCTGTATTAACAGAAGAGGTGATATCTAATTAAGTTTATAATTATAATTAACTTATCAAAACTGGTTACTGTAACTCAATCTAAAATAAAATGTAAATTATTTACTAAGACACAGAAATCTTCAAACTTACCTGTATGTCTACATATTTACCATAATTAGATAAACACAAGCATGCATGTTGGTCAAACATTGAAACAGAAAAAAAAGGTAAAATTATAATTTGTATTCAAATTAGGCATGACAGCTATTTTAATATGGAAAAAACCTTTCTGTTATTTAAATACTGATAATTGACACATCATTAGTACACAAGACCCATAGTTTTTTAGTGGGTCAATATATGCAGATTGAATTGTTAAATTTAGCCTGTCATTAAAGACTTGTACACGTAGGGCTTTATTTTATGGTGTACAAGATGATTTTAAAACCAATGACGTCTGTCGTCTGGCAATTTTCTTAAGTCCCACTCCCTAAATTTCTGCATACCGGCTAGTGTAGTACAGTGCCCTGATTAAGATCTCAGACCATTACCAGTTCTCTGAATTATTTGACATAGGCCTACCACTGAAGCTATTTTCTCAGAATTACAAACTAAATAAATATTAGGTTATGTTTCATCCAATTAATAATAAGTAAGCATTTTTATTCTGTATCTAAGTAACTATATGTGTCATTCTTAATTATGCTTTTTCGTAACCATAACAGAAATCTTTTGACAATCTTAATAAAACTTTTTAAAGTCAATATACAGGACGTCTGAATTTGTAAATATTCTGTTATGAAATTGCATGTGATCTAAAAATATACCCGGTGTTGGGGAAGATAACATGTAAAGTGTTTCATCAACCCCCAGGTTAACTTGACCGTGGATGGAAGGAGTACGAGTGAACTACGTGACATATACATGGTATGTACACACGATTCAGTTATCTCAAGAAACACACCTTGACTCATAGCAAGTGACCTATTTCTTCTCATACAACCCCTCCTCTGTTTCCAATACACAGAATGGCCACAATAAGCAATGTCCACTACATTTGACCCTCGCCTCGAATCCACAAGTGACCGATGAACGAATATGGCTGGTGCTGCATTTGCCTTCGGTCCAACCCAAGTGTGTATATGATGGGAAATAGCAGACAGGAACTTGACCTATTTATATGGAACAAAGCACGACACCACCGGTCATGTCTGCACGCGAATGATCACACCAGACAAACACGTCACGAAAATTCTTGGAAAAATCTAGACTTAGTTCAATGACAATAGTTCACCAACTAACTCAAATAAACGATATGAAAGGGTAATAATGAGAAAAATGTCTTCTTACCGTTTGGGACTGCTGTCTTAACGTCCATCTATGACCGAGTTTTGGGTCTTTCCACAGCAACTTGACCTATTTACCTTTTCCACCTTTCCCATCATGCACTATTAAAATGTCAGCGTCCATGGATTTGCTTCCGGGTTCTGTGAAGGAGGCGTATGTTCTTTTACCATTTTGAAATGGAAATGATTCAGTAGAACGATATATGGTAAGATTAAACAATGTCTTAAACAGTTATATAATGTATTTAAATGATTAAATTAACACGAACAGCTGGAATGTTTTGAAATGATCCCGATTTCTGCGAAAATGAAAGTAGGTCTGCTCCAAAAAAGTACCCATGAGTGAAACAAATGACTTTTCAGTATACCTCAACCTGAACACGTACTTAGGCTAATGGTGCATGTTCGATGAGTGCTTGGCATTTTTAAATTGCCATATCCTGTTGTAAGAGGTCTGACATTACAGTATTCATTATAACCGTCGCCTACATGTATTGCTCAAACGAAATCCTAGACGTTTCGGTACCCGGTCGTTTCAGTACTTAAGAATAATTTGTTTCGATACTTATTTGGAAAAGACAAAAAATGCTGAAGAATCCTTAAATACAGAACAACAACACTCACAACCTAAAAAGCGAACAAAATTGAAACTTTACTCCAAGTGCCGAAAATCTTATAAAATACCAGAGGTACCAAAACGTAGGTATACCCTGTTCAAAGGACCACTATTGTGAAAGCCTGGTTGCCAAAATCCAAGTAGTCCAAATTTCTGATTGGCAAAACAGGTGCGTAACAAATCATTGATATATAATGTAAGTCCAGATCATATGTGTTGATTCTTATCATGGTCCGTCATGTTGCGTGCATGCCACAAAATTTCCTTATTCACAGTAATTTGTAGCAGAACTGGACAGGGTCGGTTGTCAGAGACCAGGTTGCTCAATAATGGTAGAGTGTCCATCTAGAGTTCGGAGGGTCCCAGGTTTGAACCCCAGCCTAGCTGGCCAGGCATTTTTACATCTCCTGTTACAGTGGTACATGCCTGTGACTAACCCTACTTTGTTTCAAGCATTGGGTGTACGCTAATGGCAAGGGGATGCCCAAAACCTTGTTGTAAATATTTCTGTCTTCAGGGGCAAAGATTTAGAAAAAAATGGAGGCAATATCCTGTCACAAATTAATAACATATATTAGACAAGAACCACTATGTATATGTCTGATGACACAGTTTTGGAGGCATTTATATAGCGGCATATCTGGTTAATGTACATCTGTAGTTTTATTTGATTTCCACATGTGGAATGCATGTCTTTACTGGCATCTAAATGAATGGAAGGTTAATAACTAAATGGTTGATTGGTAAAAAAGCATTTTCCATAGGATTTAAGGTCAAAGCATATGTAACAGAAGAGGAGAAATGCACAACCACACTGGGATTCGAATCCAGGACATCCAAACTGGAAGTGATTGCCAAAGCAATGAACCTTAACAGCTTCAATACATTACCGAACAACCATAACATTACCAACAGTTCCAAATTCTGGGCCTCTTTTTACAATTAATACCATGGACACCATCTGTGTTTTTAAATTATGCATATTTTTATTGCACGTTTGGGAACAAAACTTTATAAAGTATGTGTGTTAAAATGTACTACACATGTGTTCATATAGAGAGACTGTTTGTCAATTTTATAATGTGTGAGTAACATAATCTATCCCGTCGCAACTCATCAATGTGTTAATAGACTAAATACAGACTTTTTATCGATTTATGTGCAACCAGATGAACATTATTGAATAGTAAATGAAATAGAATCAATACATCATCAAAAACTAAAAAGCTTACAACGATGTAGGATATATACAGCTAAAGAAACAATGGACCCAGTCCAGTGTCTTTACTGGCATCTAATAATATACAATAAACTGTAGTCCCCGTTATACTGCCACCTTTTGTCCTAAGCTAAATTTGGCGGTTTAACAGTCCAGTGTCTTTACTGAAACAACCAAGTTTCAGTATGACAGCCCAATGTACAACACACATATACATGTAGTAAAATGTTTACATCTAAAACAAACATTGCATGATGATATATACATGTACAAACACATATCATGATTTATATTTAAATGAATACAGGCAGATAATTCATATTATTTGTAGTTTTTAAAGCATTATTAGCTCTCCTGGTCCAAAGGATCAAGGAGAGCTAATTATGCCATACCATGGTGTCCGTCCGTCGTCTGTACGTCAACAGTTGCTTTAAACGACTTCTTCTTCTTAACCACTGATTGGAATTTAACTAAATTTGACTGGAAGCATCCCTAGGTGGTGGGGATTCAAACTTGTATAATGGTGGGGCTGACCCCCCAGGGGGCTGAGGGGCGGGGGCAATTTGGCTATATTGCTTTCAGCAACTTCTTCTCTGGAACTAAGTGATGGATATCAACCATATTGGACTGGAAGCATCCCTAGGTGGTGGGGATTCAAAATTGTACAAATGGTGGGGCTGACCCCCCATGGTGCTGAGGGGAGGGGCCAAAAGGGGGCATTTGGCTATATTGCTTTAAGCAACTTCTTCTCTGGAACTAAGTTATGGATATCAACCATATTTGACTGGAAGCATCCCTAGGTGGTGGTGATTCAAAATTATACAAATGGTGGGGCTGACCCCCCAGGGTGCTGAGGGGAGGGGCCAAAGGGGGGCATTTTGGCTATATTGCTATAAATGGCTTCTTCTGTAGAACTATGCAATGGATTTCAGTCATATTTGGTCGGAAGCATTCATGGGAGGCAGGGATCCCCACTGTATAACCATATATACAATTGAATGCACATATGCTTCCAGGATGACATTGGGGTCTGCCCCACCCTTGGAGACTTAATCCCTGGGTCATACCTTTGAAATGGTTTAGATCCCCACCCCAAAACTATATATACAAATGATGGGCATAACGAGATGAATGCAGTCATGATATTAGAATTGACCCCAGGGTCTGCCCCCCCCTTGCAGACTTAACCCCTGGGTCATAACTTAAAAACAGTTGATATCCCCACCCCAAAACTATAAATACAAATGATGGGCAAAAAGAGACGAATGCAGTCATGATATTAGAATTGATCCTGGGGTCTGGTCACAACCCTAGGAACCTTAAAGTTTTAGAGTCACAGCCTGGAAACAGTTGAGATCCCCACCCCATAACCATACATAAAATTGCTGGGCATAAAAAATCTAATACAGATATGCTACATATTCCCTTGGATCTCATTTGGAGAATATTTTGCCATAATTGCTTAGATATCCAGGTGAGCGATACAGGCCCTCTGGGCCTCTTGTTAGTCAATAAAATACTAATATAATTTACATTTTTACAAGTCACCAATTTGTAACACAGTCTGGGATGCAGTATGATCGTTACAGGTTTTGCTCAGGGACAAGTCGTACCTGACAAAAACATGTATGATGGAAAGAAAATTACTTGTCAAAATATTGTGTAAGCTCATGCTTGTTTGCTAGATAGTTTGTTGCATGTCTGCAAAAGTCCTTGGCCTGTATTCAAGAAACTATTCTCATGCTCAAGCACAGAATCTGTGCTCAAACTAAAATTCTTGCAACTCGCTTAAATCATGTGACACAGCCACAAGGTCAAGTGTAAATATTGAGAATGGTATTCAGCTTTTAGTCTCATCAAAATTCTTCCAAATCATTGAGAAAATGTGGATTTTTATTAATTTATTACCAGAACAAGAAATTGGGCTTGAGCACAGAATCTGAGTTTGATCTTGAGCACAGAATCTGAGTTTGAGCATGAGAACAGTTTTATGAGTACGGGCCCTGAAAACCTAAAGGCCAAACAGTCAAAACATAGTCGTAAAGCTACATTACTAAAAGGTTTTAAAAACATATAAGAATACTTATTGTCAGTAAACGTGTCATTTTCATCCAAACTATTTTCGATAGCACTGACACATTGAAGTATTTTTAACTTTTGACCTATATATAGCTACATTACCAGTATGTCTTCTGGCTATCAGTCCTTCAGTGTCTCACATTTGGGTAATTGGACATTAAAACAACTGGGCCTTCAACATTAGAATAAATATTTTATTGCTTATGAGTCATTATTTGTTGACCTTTTAGAATATTGGGCCTTCAAATTTATGACTTTTAGACTATTGGTCTTTTTGAATTTATAGGGCCTTTGTAATATGGTCTTTCAGATAACAGGACAGTCTCTTATATTTATATAATTTATTTTTGTATGCTTTTGTTTCATTGATGGATTTGTTTCTGTTTACTAAATAGATGGTTGATATTTACAAATGAAGGAAGAAAACGCTACACTATGCCAGCAACAGTGAAGAAAGAGTTTGAATTTGAATTCAGAAGTAAGGAGCATAAGTCAAGGTTGACCATCCCCATCACCATACCTTTGAGCCAGACAAGCATCAAGGAGTTTGTAGGGCGGTTGATTACTGCACACGACTTACCCTGCTACGTGGAAAAGGGTTTGTTTAATTATCAGTTGCCAAAATACAACATCAGTTTTTAGGTCACCTGAGCTTTGCTCAAGTGACCTATCCAGTGCTCCAGATAGCTTGCGTGAATGCGTATTCACGCACGATATTTCACAAATTACGCAAAAGAAAAAAATGAACTTGCTTAATTCACGCAAGCAGAATCCGGAACATTGCGTCAGTCTCCGGGTCCAATTTAGCATATTATAATATGCTTACAGTGAGTCACCGAGACGCTTGCATATCAATGCAAATCAATGCCTCCTGTTACAAACGCTAACACGAGAGAGAATTAAATCATGGCGCTATCAAAATTTCAACTATCGGCGGGTAGTTTTACTTCATTCAGAAATGATTCCAAGTCAAGGTTCAGATGCTCTCTCAAAGCAGCAACTGTCAATACATTGATGAAAATCAACATGTTAGGACCTGAACTGACTTTGTTTGAGCCAAGAAGGGCTGTTCGAATGTGGAATGCTGAAAAACGAAGAAGGATGTGTGTACTATTCAAACCAAAAAAATCTGCAACTCATTGAGTTTTGGGTGTAAACATTTAAATACAATCACAGTGAAATGGAAATAAAATACCACATGTCTAGACAACACAAAAATATGAATTTGAGTCATTCTTAACCGTATACAAGAACTATATAAGAATAACACATACAAATTATTCATCTTATTTCAACATTTTCAGGTAACGTTGCTTTTACAGCACTTCATGGTTTAAAATTTAAGTTTTCTCCAACACTTTGGAGAGGTAGGGGTGAAAAACCCCACATGTTCAAAAGTTATCTGGAGCACTGCCTATCCAAGCTTTGCTCAAGTGACCTATCCTGATTACTTCCCGTCCGTCGTTGTCCGTTGTCCGTCGTGCGTTTTACATTTTCGACTTCTCATGAACCAGTGGATGGAACTTTTTCAAACTTTATCAGAATCATCCTTGGTAGATGAGGCTACAAAATTGTAAAATTGGGATTCCTAACCAAACCCCAGGGGCCAGGGCGGGGCCCCAAAGGGAAAATCAACCAATATTTCAAAAGTCTTCTTCTCCAGACTCAGAGATTCTACAGTCAATTTCTCTGCATGGATGAAAAGATCATCTGGGGCTTTATTTAAATTGTAAATTTCAGTACCCCCGGGCCATCCGTTCTCCCTTCGGGAGGAAGTAAAGTTTACTATAGTTTATATAGGGAAATAACACTTTTGGGTATATGTTGTTCACTTTCAGCAGGAAATTACTCAAACTTGATCAAAATCATCTTTGGTGGAAGATGGTATTACAATGTAAAATAAGGATTCCTGTCCCAACCCCAGGGGCCAGGGCAGGGCCCCAAAGGGATAATTAACCAATATTTCAAAAGTTGTCTTCTTCTTCAGACTCGGAGATACTACAATCAAATTCTGTGCATGGATGAAAATTCCATCAAGGGCTTTATCTCTTTTAATTAATTTCAGTACCCCCGGGCCATCCATTCTTGCTTGGGGAGGGGGTAAAGTTGACTTTAATTTATATAGGGAAATAATGCTTTTGGGTATATTTTGTCCATTTTCAACAGGAAACTATTCAAACTTGGTTGGAATGATTATGATGCCTGATGGCAAGTAAATAAAATATGAGAAAATAAGATCCTGCACCATTCCCAGGGGCTGGAGGGGTGGAAAATGGTTAAAAGTTTTAAAAAAATCTTCTTCATCAGACTCAGGTGTTTTACAAACAAACACTCTTCATTGATAGAACGGTCCTTAGGTGCATTATCTAAATTGTGAATTTCATTATCTCCCAGATCATCTGCTCTCCTTTGGGGAAAGGGTAAAATTTACTATAGTTTATATAGGGAAATAACAGTTCTGACTATATCTTGTCCATTTTCAGCAAGAAATAATTCAAACTTGTTTGGAATAGTTATGAAGAAATTGAAATCAAATAGTATCAGAAAGTAAGATCCTGACCTATCCGAGGCGTTGCATTTTGGCCAAAGAGGAAAATTGGCTAAATAACAATAGATAATATATTTCTCAATAGCAAAATAATTTATTACAATAGTTTTTTTTCAAGTTCTTTTCCTTTGCTGACATATGACAAGTATTATATTTCACTTTGTTTACATGTTGATTTCCACATCACATCTCAACAATGAAATTGAGCTACCAGTACCTATAATTTAACTCAGGTGACTGCTAAGGCCCTTGGGCCTCTTGTTTATAATGAAGTATGATTTACACTCTGTATGCATACAACACATTAAACATGATTGAACAACAAAGATCACACATAGAACATAACTGTCCGAAGGTTACACAATGAACATGTTTTCTTAAGTCATGTATTGACCATAACTGTCCAGAGGTTAAGTGTAGAGCACTACAATCCCTGAGGTCATCTATCGAGGGAACTATCCCAAGGTCCTGACTTGGACACAACTTCACTGAGGCTAAGATCAAACACAAGTCTACTGATAGGTCATGTATTGAACACAACTGTTTTAAGATTATCATGTATTGAACACATCTATCCTGAGGTTGTCATGAATTGCACACAAATGTCATGAAGTAATGTATTGAATACAAAAGTTGTAAGATTGTCATGTATTGAATACAACTGACATGAGGTTGTCATGTATTGAACACATCTGTCCTGAGGTTGTCATGCATTGAACACATCTGTCCTAATGTTGTCATGTATTGAACACATCTGTCCTGAGGTTGTCATGAATTGCACACAAATGTCATGAAGTAATGTATTGAATACAAAAGTTGTAAGATTGTCATGTATTGAACACAACTGACATGAGGTTGTCATGTATTGAACACATCTGTCCTGAGGTTGTCATGCATTGAACACATCTGTCCTAATGTTGTCATGTATTGAACAAATCTGTCCTGAGGTTGTCATATAATTAACACATCTGTTCTAAGGTTGTCATGTATTGAACACATCTGTCAAGAGATTGTCATGCATTGAATACATCTGCCCTAAGTTGGTCATGTATTGAACACATCTGTCCTGAGATTGTCATGCATTGAACACATCTGTCCTGAGGTTGTCATGCATTGAACACATCTGTCCTGAGGTTGTCATGCATTGAACACATCTGTCCTGAGGTTGTCATGCATTGAACAAATCTGTCCTGTGGTTGTCATGTATTGAACACATCTGTCCTGAGGTTGTCATGCATTGAACACATCTGTCCTGAGGTTGTCATGCATTGAACACATCTGTCCTGAGGTTGTCATGCATTGAACACATCTGTCCTGAGGTTGTCATGCATTGAACACATCTGTCCTGAGGTTGTCATGCATTGAACACATCTGTCCTGAGGTTGTCATGCATTGAACACATCTGTCCTGAGGTTGTCATGCATTGAACACATCTGTCCTGAGGTTGTCATGCATTGAACACATCTGTCCTGAGGTTGTCATGCATTGAACACATCTGTCCTGAGGTTGTCATGCATTGAACACATCTGTCCTGAGGTTGTCATGCATTGAACACATCTGTCCTGAGGTTGTCATGCATTGAACACATCTGTCCTGAGGTTGTCATGCATTGAACACATCTGTCCTGAGGTTGTCATGCATTGAACACATCTGTCCTGAGGTTGTCATGCATTGAACACATCTGTACTGAGGTTGTCATGCATTGAACACATCTGTCCTGAGATTGTCATGTACTGGACACATCTGTCCTGAGGTTGTCATGCATTGAACAAATCTGTCCTGTGGTTGTCATGCATTGAACACATCTGTCCTGAGGTTGTCATGTATTGAACACATCTGTACTGAGGTTGTCATGTATTGAACACATCTGTACTGAGGTTGTCATGCATTGAACACATCTGTACTGAGGTTGTCATGCACTGAACACATCTGTCCTGATATTGTCATGTATTGAACACATCTGTCCTGAGGTTGTCATGCATTGAATACATCTTTCCTGTGGTTGTCATGCATGGAACACATCTTTCCTGTGGTTGTCATGTATTGAACACAACTGTTATGAGGTTGTCATGCAATGAACACATCTGTCCTGATGTTGTCATGCATGGAACACATCTTTCCTGTGGTTGTCATGCATTGAACACATCTTTCCTGTGGTTGTCATGCATTGAACACATCTGTCCTGATATTGTCATGTATTGAACACATCTGTCCTGAGATTGTCATGCATTGGACACATCTGTCCTGAGGTTGTCATGCATTGAACACATCTGTCCTGATATTGTCATGCATTGAACACATCTTTCCTGTGGTTGTCATGTATTGAACACAACTGTCCTGAGGTTGTCATACATTGAACATATCTTTCCTGAGGTTGTCATGCATTGAACACATCTGTCCTGAGGTTTTCATGCATTGAACACATCTTTCCTGTGGTTGTCATGTATTGAACACATCTGTCCTGAGGTTGCATTGAACACATCTGTCCTGAGGTTGCATTGAACACATCTGTCCTAATGTTGTCATGTATTGAACCCATCTTTCCTGTGGTTGTGATGTATTGAACACATCTGTCCTGAGGGTTTCATGCATTGAACACATCTTTCCTGGGGTTGTCATGCATTGAACATATCTTTCCTGTGGTTGTCCTGTATTGAACACATTTTTCCTGTGGTTGACTTGGATTGAACACATCTTTCCGGTCATGTATTGAACACAACTTTCCTGAGGTTGTCAGGCATTGAACACATGTTTGCTGTGGTTGTCATGTATTGAACACATCTTTCCTGTGGTTTTCATGTATTGAACACATCTTTCCTGTTTTTGTCATGTATTTAACACATTGTTCCTGTTGTTGTCATGTATTGAACACATCTTTCCTGTGGTTGTCATGTATTGAACACATCTTTCCTGTGGTTTTCATGCATTGAGCACATCTTTACTGTGGTTGTCATGCATTGAACACATCTTTCCTGTGGTTTTCATGTATTGAACAAATCTTTCCTATGGTTGTCATGTATTGAACACATCTTTCCTGTGGTTGTCCTGTATTGAACACATTTTTCCTGTGGTTGACATGTATTGAACACATCTTTCCTGTGGTTGTCATGTATTGAACACATCTTTCCTGTGGTTGTCATGCATAGAACACATCTTTCCTGTGGTTGTCCTGTATTGAGCACATTTTTCCTGTGGTTGACATGGATTGAACACATCTTTCCTGTGGTTTTCATGCATTGAACACATCTTTCCTGTGGTTGTCATGCATTGATACAAATAGCATGATGTCATATGGTGGACATAAGCACAACTTTATTTTGCTTATGTTTTTGACAAAACAGTCGTGTAATCGTGTATTGAACACAAGTCATAAAACCACAATGGATATCACTGTGCTGATAAAACAAAATGAAACAATTTTCTATAGTTCCTCATTTCAACTTTCCTAAAGTCACACAGTCAACATCATTGTCATAAAGTCATAGCAGGTCATTGATGTTAACATAAGTCCTAGTAATAAAATCCACTGTACAGGTGGAAAGAGGAATGTTTGTCACTGGATTGTACTGTGCCTCCATTGAAATTTTGTTCTATATTATTTTTGTTCGGCAGATTTACAGACAAAGCTTCATGCTTTTGTGACAAAGGAATCCAACAGCTTGTTTGATGAGCATGCTGAGGAAGTCATCGCCAGGGTGAGGAAGGACCCAAAAGTAGTGGATGACTTGGTACAGAAATGGTCTCAGGCGTACACTCAGGTAAAAATCCTTGTAAAAACACATTCACTCAAGTACCATTCCTGTACATGCACATACACTTGGGTTAAGTTCTCGTCTTACACATACATTCAGGTAACACCCCTGTACTACACATACACTCAGGTAAAATCCCCCTACATGCACATACATTAGGGTTAAATTCTTGTCTCACACATACATTAAGGTAACACCCCTGTATGTACACATACACTCAGGTAACACCCCCCTATATGCACATACACTCAGGTACTAGGGGTGACTATTGCGTGTATTTTTCACTATTGCAACACTATTACAATTGGGGAAAACACTATTGCGATAGTTCAACTATTGTGGTATACTATCACGATAGTATTGCAATAGTATTGGATACTTCAGTTACCCAAGTTCTCTCTGTCAATTCTCTGTTGGTGGGTTGGTGTAAGGTCATTTTTGTCTTAAATATGCAAGTTATTTGATAGTTGTCATAGACTAATGGTATGATGTCAACAACGATGAGTAAAGTTAGTCGCAATGATGTCTGCTAGCGTGTTTATCAAACGTTCCCACAACACTGAGTATAGAGTAAAGTGTAACAGTTATGCCATTAAAACGCACATACGACTGAGACTTATATCTGATAGTGACTACAGCACTTGACTCCTTGTCCGAGTGCGTGTTAATGATAACGACTGAATAATCAGTACTTGTAACCGCATGGTGTGATCATGAAAACCGTAAGTGTTAGTATACAGTTAAAGTATGGGGTTTAGGGATATATCAAGTTTCTGGTGTCCCAAGACCAGGTTATCTGTCAAGGGACAATTGAGCACATTTTTCCTGTGGTTGACATGGATTGAACACATTTATTATACCGATACACTGCAGAAATAGTTTTAACTTGAAAATATTTGTAAACCATAAGCTGTATAGCTTCACAACCCAACTACCCCTTTGATGGCAATGGAGCCAAATGCTTCCGAGTTCGGTAGCAAGCTCCGCCCACCTTGTGCCTCGCCTACGAGTTCGGTAGTAAGCTCCGCCCACCTCGCACGTCGATTCCGAGTTCGGTACCAAGTTCCGCCCACCTCTCGCCTGATTGGCTCGGCAGAAACACCCGAGTGTAGGTGTGTTTTAGTTCCCCGACTAACACACAGGACTAAAACACAGTCAGGCAAAAGTGGGGATATATTCGATTTAACCAATACTTTTATATAGAGTAAATAAAGTAGAGGTATAATAATCGTTTTTAAACTATCAATTGTTTAGCATACTATCGACAATTGTTATCAAGTTTATGAAGTTGTCATGGATTTATCAAACTGAGAGGTGTACAATCGCAATCTATCGATAGTACGTTACACCACTATGACATACCATTCTGTACATACACATACACTCAGGTACCATCCCTGTACATACACATACACTCAGGTAACATCCACATTCATACACATACACTCAGGTAACATCCCTGTACATACACATACACTCAGGTACCATCCACATATAAACACATACACTAAGGTATCATTCCCGTACATACACATACACTCAGGTACCATCCCTGATCATACACATACACTCAGGTAACATACACATACACTCAGGTAACATCCCTGCTATACATACACATACATTCAGATAACATCCACATATATACACATACACTAAGATACCATTCCTGTACATACACATACACTCAGGTAACATCCCTGTTCATACACGTACACTCAGGTTACATACACATACACTCAGGTAACATACACATACACTCAGGTAACATCCCTGTTCATACACATACACTCAGTTAACACCCCTGTACATACACATACACTCAGGTAACATCCCGGTACATACACATACACTTAGGTAACATCCCTGTACATACACATACACTCAGGTAACATCCCTGTACATACACATACACTAAGGTACCATTCCCGTACATACACATACACTCAGATAACATCCCTGTACATACACATACACTCAGGTAACATCCCTGTACATAGACATACACTCAGGTAACATCCCTGTACAAACACATACACTCAGGTACCATCCACATATATACACATACACTAAGGTACCATTCCCGTACATACACATACACTCAGGTAACATCCACATACATACACATACACTCAGGTAACATCCACATTCATACACATACACTCAGGTAACATCCCTGCTATACATACACATACATTCAGGTAACCCCCACATATATACACATACACTAAGGTACCATTCCCGTACATACACATACACTCAGGTTAAATCCTCCTACATGCACATTTAATCAGGTAACATCCCTCTGCATACATATACACTCAGGAAACATCCCTGTACATTCACATATAGATTCAAGTAAAATCCTCATACACTTCGGTAATACACTATAATACAATCGGCTACCATCCTGTACATTCACATACATTTCGGTAATGGTGGTTGGTTTGGGAAAGAGGAGAAGTTGACACTCAGGTAACATTGCTTTTAACTGATTGGTAGAGAGAAGGGAAATTGACACTTAAGTAACATTGCTTGTAGCTTAATAAGAGGGCGTGGTGACATCCAGGCAACATTACTTGTACCTTAATCAGAGGGTTGGGTGACATCCAGGCAACATTACTTGTAGCTTAATCAGAGTGTTGGGTGACATCCAGGCAACATTACTTGTAGCTTAACCAGTAGGATGGGGTGACATCCAGGCAACATTACTTGTA